GACATGAGCGCTCGTGTCCTTCGTGTCCTTTTTGTCTCTGTGTCGTCGCTCTGTTCTCGCGCTGTAACTATCATTGGAAAATGGGTTCAGGTCGATTTCCCTTTAATATTATCTCTTCTCCACAAACCTTGGTGATACAAAACCTTCCATGCAAGAGACAAGTTTCAGTGCAGTGAAAGCTGCCCCTCACCACGTACATTATCCTTTACGATGTTCCAAATACTTTTACGCAGCATCTTGCAGGGGCCCAAAACAAACAATACTTGATAAAAGTTTCAGAACATATATAACAATTGTCTAGTCACAGTATTCTGACAATAAAACCTTCGCCACCTTTTGTCCTTGGAACAGCCGAAAGAAAGCTTTACTGACTCGGCGAACTATTTTTTCTCATGCTGATACATTGTATTGTCTACAGGCTTCTCCACAGTGCATGAGCTTGTACATTCTATGACGAGGGCTTTCAATGATGCAACATCGAAGCGGCTGTTCTCGTTTCACGGCACCTCTGCAATACTGAGGCGAGTGCCGAGACTGCAGAATGGGACGATTTTAACCTTGATCGCCTCCAAAGAGAAATTCATGCCGTTTTCAGGAGTGAAGCTCCTTATAGCGGCACCCATTCGTCCCGCGTCCCGTCGTAGTATGTAACCAGTCTTACGCTTTGACCTGCAAGGTGGTGCCGGTGGAAAATTTCTCCTGTGCGTTGTTGAACAATAAAAAAATTCGCAGCGTGCGTGTCAACTAAAAGCCGAATTTATCTGCCTCTCATTCCCCATTAGCAGCCATTGGCATGTTCCAGTAGGAAACGTTAGTAGAAGTAGAAGTGTAAGTGTAAGCTAAAAGCCGACTTCTGCTGTCTCCCATTCCCAGTAGCAGCCATTGTTTACCTCCGTGATTAATGTTCAAAACGCCATTGATTGATGAAAAAAACCAACGAAAGACGCCCAGATGCTTTCTAAAAGCAAAACGAAAAGACGCCCGATGTTGCTAAAGCAAAACAAAAGACGCCAGCTGGCTTAACGAAAGACGCCAGGTGTTTTCTAAAGCAATGGTTTTATGATCAAAACCATATCGCGATACAGGTTTGCAGTTGACGATGCTCGGTGCCTTCGGTGTGGCTGCGTATGGATAAGGATGCCGACAGTAGAATAAACTTTTTCTAAACACATATACCCATGAACTCGAGGTGGTTAAAGTTGGGAAATCGACCCGAAGCGCAAGCCGTAAGAATTGTGCGTGTGCCACCTCGAGTTTCGAGTCCTTAAAATCTCCGCTGGATGGCGGTGCTTCTATATGGTGGAATATATGATGCAAAGATCTGAGATGGGGTACTTGGAGCGTTCAATAGATGGACGAACGGACAAACAGACAGATGCATGACGGACGCAATAAACGGACGCAGGGGTGGATGCATGGAAAAACACCAGAGCGGACGCACGAACAGACGCACGCACGGACGGGCGGATGGACGCATGGACGGTCACACAGACGGACGCATGGGCGGACGGAAGCAAGAACGAATGGACGGACGAATGCTTCGCCCCACTCTCCATTATTCACTCCGTGGATATGCTGCCAATTAATTTTGTTATAAACTAGCTTAATATTAATAAATGGTCTTCATTATCATGCTACCTAGCTATGAACAGAAAAAAATATAAATGTAGACTTCAACATTGCGTGGCCAACGTATACAAGTTTCAGTTCACGCAACTGAAACGTGGAAAATGAATTTGAAATTTCACGGGATGGAAAGTCATACGACAATCCTTCTCTTATGCTTGGTCGCACGCGCTTCCCTTGTTTACATTAATGGGCAATATCATGTGAAACCACATATATTAACCACCAGATCTAACAGCTAACACTGACCTTCATGGCCTTGGCTATCATGAACCGTGCGTAGAGTTCTCTGTTTTATCTTATTGTCGTTATTAGAACGAATATTATTAGTCTATATATGAGCAAAAGAAACCAAAAAAAACAAGCAAAAAGAATCACTGCTTAGAAAGGAAGAACACCTGCCACTCACTCGAGAAGTGAAACTAGAGTCCCCAACGAACTGACTGATTGTCGCGCCTACAGTGTTTTTCTTTACAATCAGAATATTTTTGCCAAATATCTTGTAACTTTGTGTTGGAAAACAACAATTATAATTGGAATCGTTTGCCCGCAATATTGTTAAGAACACTAGGTGCACAAGTGTTTCAGGTGTGAGCAGCTAAAAAGATACGACTTCCAAAATCTGCACTCATGAAAGATGAGTTTCGCAAAACCGCACTTTTTTATTGGTGCTGCGGTACTATTCTTTCAATAGAGATGCATGAAGAGCAACATAGAAATTCTTGCTGCTCCCGACTGTGCAGTTTCAGACAGCGCTGGTGAAACTTTGCGCGAGCCACCGATTTAAAGTATTTTTAAGGTGTTCATCCAAGCGAATTCAAGAGCTGAAAAATCGCATTCTACTTGTTATAAAAGTGCAGAAGCCTACCTCGTTCTCTATAACACTCCATAGAGCTCTTTCTTTATTGTAAACACTTTCTTTCAGCTAAATATTTTCAATAAATTGCAACCTATTATCAATATTGAGCACTTGTGCATTGTCTTGCTTAAGCTGCAACACAATTTGATTTTATGCGATGAGGCTTTTTTCCATCTTTTCAATGACCTAATGATGCAAATGCGGGAATATGGAAATCCGTGAATTCCATGACAGCTGATTTTTTCGCCCAAGGAACGGATGATTCCACATGCCTTGAAGTTTTAAGAAATACGTATAGGACAATGCGCATTCAAGATGTATACCGTACCTTCTGAACTATTATAATGTCATGATGTTACTCCTTTCTGGAAAATTTATCTACTCTAACAACTGGCACCCCACGTAAAGGAAATAAGTTATGGTTGTGAAGATCACGGTTTTTTTTGCTACGCAGATAATAGTGAAGAAGATTTGAGAAAGGATGATTTAGGTTAAAAAATTCTCAAAAAGTCAAACAGTCGCTTCCACGTAGATGTCAAGACGAGCAGTATTATACCAAAAAGAGGAAAGAAGCTTCAGAAAATTCGTGCCGATGATGAGGCACTTTAACAGGTCATTGCTAGCTTCAAAGCAAAACTTGGAAGTGATCTAAAAGGGAGATCACCGTGTACGACTAAAACTTACCTAATATGTACAGTGTGGTCGTTTTTTGATCAATAAACCCCCGACCCCCTTATAGCGAGTATTGAATGCAAGAACATCCGAATTTATATAATCACCTTTTTTTTCATAGTTTTCACACAGGATGATGAAGGAGGTATGAAGACTACAAGACCTGTGTTAGCGGTAACTGCAGTGAGTAGAGGTGTAATTACAGAGGCTGGCTCGTAGAGGCAGGCCTGACCCACGCACTTTCGACTGCAGAAGCGGTTGTTTCTGTGAGAAAGGTTATTTCCGAAATTATCGGAGAAATTTGGCACTAGGTAATCGCTGCTTCAAGCACACAAATACCTAACGGGTCAACCTGTGATGAGTAATGTCAATGAAGGAATAACAGTGACCCCTTTCTTCAGTGCAGCTGTTGATATGATGACTAAGCAATACGGGTGGTCGTTCAGTAAAGCATTTTAATGGGTGACAACACGAAAAACACAAAAAACGTGAAATTTTTATCTGTCGTTATAAGCAAATGAATGTAGCGAGAATGAAATGATGATGCTCATCAAAAACACGGTAACCTGACACCAATCTCCGCTCTTAATCACACAAACTCAAGTATTATTGAGACTTCGTTACTCTCTGAACAAACCCATTTTGCATCTATAAGTCTAGTTGCCGATAATAAAAAATGAACGAGTTACCTGTGAAAATTCACGGCTTCGTACACGTATCACAAAAATGAAAACTACGTTCGCTAAGTTTTGCATTCCTCCGCATGGCAGGCAATCACTAGCTCATGGACCTGCTGGGGCAATGAGCTCCTCCCCCCCCCCCCCCCCCCAAATAATACTGAGCCTTAAGCACCAGGTTTGAACCTGGAGGTCAAAACCAATGGTCTTTTTAATTTGGGTGATCACTCCCCCAATTCAACTAATCTGCAAACTAGCACTTGGGAAGGCAAGGTCGAATTTATTGTACAGTCAAACTAGATAGACGCATATTAGTTAAAATCAGCCTGAAATAATTCCACAGGGAGGCGTTCTACCGGGAAAGAAATCACGTTAAGAATCGCAGTGTAGGGTCGTGCAAAACTTTCGTAATAAACGGAGGTGCCTGTACACCAGCGGCGGCTACGAAATCAAACGTGCGCTTCCTTTTCAAAGGGTACTGGGTTCAATTCCCGGTGCCTACTTAATAACTACTTTTTTTTTTCCTAAAAAAGGCAGGGAAACACGCCAAACTGGGTTCGAGCAGGCTTGGTGCTGTTTTATTGTAAGTGAACTACGAAGGCGTACGTACAAAAATTACAGTTAATCACGGAGTAAAGCACAGACGTTCCCTACGGTTTCGAGGCAGGGAGCTATGCTGTGTACATTTGACCCTATGCTCCCTGAGGGCTGAAAAAAGGAGTAATTTTATGACGTAATTGTGGAATGACCAAATATTGCCAGCGTGCATTGATTTAAAACTAAAATACTTTCAAGGATAGGTCCTAGGATCACTGCAAGTATTTCCAATGTTCAAAGCGAAGTATTTTTATCTTATCCTCACAAGTGTTACATTGTACAGTTGAGGTTTCCAGTGAAGCCTATCTAGGATAAAAAAAGGATCACTGCAAGTATTTCCAATGTTCAAAGCGAAGTATTTTTATCTTATCCTCACAAGTGTTACATTGTACAGTTGAGGTTTCCAGTGAAGCCATGACATTGACGTTTCTTGTTTGCTAACCCTGTCCGTTACAAATGTAGATGTAAACTCAATATAATGACATGTTTCTAGCATTGATTGCCCCTGTCTAAAACATGTGTATTGTGTATATAACGATTTCGCAACCTACAGCGCTCCCGTCCCTCATCTCTTATTCTGCGTAGGTAGGTAAATATATATTGAAATATTGATGTATTGTCTGCGATGTATATAAAAGTCCGACTCAGACAACTCGAAATAGGAGTTATATCAACTCATTCAAGATGACCGCAAGGATGACATTCGTTTTGTTGGCCTTGGTCGTATGTACTTCACTTCTTCACGTGAAGGCGCAATATGGAGCAGGCAATTCTGCGTCAGCGTACAGTTATGGTGGCTCAAGTTGGCCCTCGTGGACTTGGCCATCGCGACAATGTATGTATCATACTTTTTCGTAGCATCTTCATCTGAATCTTTGAACTGAATGCTTTTAAAACCAGATGCAAATTCTCATGTAACAGATCGTGGCCATTAAGCCATTGAGCATTGTTTAATACTTATGCAGCAAAGCAACACTCTAGAACATTTTGCTCCACAATGCCAAAGCATTTTAGCAATCATCCGTGGCCACTCACAGTGCCAAATTTAATAGAGGTAACTTATTCTGCAAGATAGCACTGGATATGTATGCATGAATGAACAAAATATATAGAAAAGATGTATTACTATGCTGGAAACGTCATATCTTTCCATGAATATAGATGAGCCAAGAAGAAAGCAGTAAAGATAGTATTTCAGTAGTGTATCACAATTGTGTTTGTGTTTGCACGGATGTGGTTATTCATTGTTCTTCAGATCCAATGCCTGCATCCACATTTATTCTTAATATGCTAAGAATATTACATTTCTAGGTTGTACAAGAAAAGTACAACAGAGGAGCCATTTTACACATGTTACATTTTTAATATTTGTAGTAGACGTTTTTTTTTTTCAAATTTCCAGTTGTAACAATTACTGAGCACAAAAATGAAGAAACTTGAGTTTATGCTTTTATGCATGTGAGCTCTTGTGTTCCTTTCTTCTATATTCATGTTCTGAAGTAGGCCTACGCCACTGCAAGTCTCAGCATGCAAGTGCACTTTCAAGGGTTCAATGCTTACTAAACAAACATAAATCACTGTGAACGACGAAATGAATGGAAGATTTTTATGTAAAGTAGGGGACACTGTGCCGCGCCTTGTGGGGCCTGTGGTTTGGAGAAAGACATAATTCACTAAAGGTCCACCGCTAATTTCACTTTAAGTCATACTTTCTGTGTAATCCCACCTTAATGATGTTGCGAATTTATGAAAAGCTAATGGTATGAATCTTGTCTAATTACTAATAAGAAGCATCATGCCTTTTTTGCGGTGTCATCGCAGTAACAAAAAGTTTTACGAAAAAATACCCACAGCACAGGAATGACTCAATGCTGTTTCGATATCTTATTCAATATCTTCCTGCTTACTCCTAGGAAAGGTAATGAATAAAGTTGGGAAAGATATGCATGTGTAGTGAGCTGTCAAGATAAATATCACTGCAATCAGTCGTAAGCAGCATTCAAGGCAACGAATAGGGATATATACGCGGAAAGTTTAGTGAGTCAGAAGCACTTAGCGCCTCATAGGAAGCGCTATATGACCTACCGGCGGTGTCCGCTGTCCGCGGCATCACTTAAGAAAACAAATATGGCACGTCACGAACATAGAGTGAGCGGGGCCTGAAGTTTGCGCTCTCCTTTAAAAAAAAGCCATCACACTGTAGCCGCCACCTCTAATCTTTTTGGCGAAACAGTGGAAGTGTGCTTTACCTCTTTTTGGCACGAAGGAATACCATTGCAAGCTGAATTGTGATGCGGGTCGATTCCAACACTCTATCGAACACGGTGTTGACACGCTTAGCAGTGCCGCCATATTTGGTCGGAGAGCAATAGGGGGCGCGCGAAACTGAGAGCTTCATGAAACACGGCAATACAGCGCCTAATATGGCAGCTGGGTGGTCAGTGGGTATCGCAAACACCATAATGGGAGGCGGCGTAGTTATCGAGAAGTGCCCTGAGCTCAATGGGAACTCCTCAGCACTGTATTAAGTCACTTTTGATACCGGTGTATTAGCAGCCAATGGATCTCCTTTTTTTAACCTTGAGCTATCACACGAGGGGTACCTAAGTATTTTTAACTAATCAAGAAACAAAAAATTACTAATGAATTGCATTTTTGCCTGGCAGAAGATGAGAAACACTATACCGCGGAAAGACAAAATGATGAGAGGAACATTGTAGATATAGGAAACAGACTTTGTTGTGAAAGTAGCAAAGCAGAGGCACCTTTAGTCAAGTGAACCCTGACCATCATACACACACATCGACATTCGATGCCTGTATACACAAACAAAAGAAATGAAGCTGTCGCATAGGTGGACGTTTAGCTTTTATATTACACGTGCAGATTGCTGGAAGCGGCACGAGGAATACAAGCAATGTGTCAGCGGGAGCTGCGGCGAGTGGAAGTGTCCTTACCTGTACCAAGGCTGGCCTAGAGCGTGCACCACGGACTGCCAGAGCGGCTGTTTCTGTAAAGAAGGTTACTTCCGAAATCGCCGTGGCAATTGTGTTCTCGGATATAAATGCTTCAGAGAAATATTGCCTGCCGTGGGATCCTTTGCCGAGTGACACCGTTCCATGAATTAACCATGACCGCATTCTTCAAGAGCACTTCTTATTTCTTATATGAAACAAAGTTAACACACATGAAAAAAATCAGCAATAAAGTTTTGATGAAGGGCTATAAAACGTGTTGGATATTGCACTTCTTTATATATTTATTTATTTATTTATTTATTTATTTATTTCCCATACCGACTGCTTCAAGTATTCTTTTTTTTCGAGAACAGTCACAGATTATAATAACCTTAGCAACAATATCGTTGAAGCAACTTCTCTCTCAGCATTATCATCGTTTCTTGGTGACTGAAACATGATTGGTTATTTTTTTCTATAGCTACTGACTATTTGTATCTCCGTTGCCTGTTGCTTTGTTTCCTTTGCATCTATGGTAAATGCTTTTCTGGGTCACTGAACAAGAATTAGTTATCTATATTTGATGTGTCTGTTTTCGCTTATTTGTTTATTTCATAATAATACTAATAATATTACCATTAATTATTATCATTCTATATTCCTGTACACAGATATTATTAGGTATTTTTGTTCATGCATTGCATATATCCCACCCTGCTAAAACTCCTGAAAGAGTAGCTGCGTCAATAAATAAATAAATAAATAAATAAATAAATAAATAAATAGGTTTGAATTGCGATTTAATCTAGATGCACTATAAAATGAAACGGTACATTTGAGAACACACATAAGAAAGTGTTCTCCTAATACAATGGCAGCAGAAAAGATTGAGTAATAATATAGGCTGTAACAAACCAACAAGAATAGGTTTGCTCAAAAGGAAAACGTCATTATTGAAGGATTTGCACAGTACTACACTTCAGTTTTAAAATATTATCAACACTAGAATCATAAACAATAGACATGTTTGTCTTGAAAAACAAAATGTTTTTTTTCTGTGACCGTAAGAGAAAAAAAAAGGCTGACTATACACTGCGTGCGTTGAACACAGGATATAGTCAGTAATTTTGCACGGTCCCACCTTGTGAAGGTGATAAGAACGAGTAGAAGTGTGTGACAGACGAAGACAATGAACGTTATGCAGGGTGGCATTGTAGCAAAAGAGACTGGCGTGGGAGAACTTACTGTGGCAGGCGAGTGACGGTAATACTTCTAAAAGGTAATAATTGTTAGTGACACACTTCTTACATGGAGGTAGACGCGATATACGTTTCTCACAAAGCTTCCATTGTCTTTAAAAAGTTTGTCTCGTGCCGGAATGTTTGTTGAAATAAGGCCTACTGGTTTATAAATACCTAATAATTTCAGTTGCAGGTTCCCGCTACAATTTGGTACGACAATATCTTATTTCTTGCTTGAGCAGGTTTCTAAATGCAGGAACTTATTCACCGCCATTCTAGGGTTTCTTTATTACCAATTGATGCAAAGTCGCAAAAAAAATCGCCTTGATCTATGCTTAACGCTGACAGTGCCGATGCACAATATTAGTATAGTTTCTTTAGATTGTCATTTCTGATTAGGTGCTGTATTACTCCCTACTGAAGCGTCTTTTTCTAGACCTCGGGCGACTGCTATTTTTTTTCGATCAATTGTATAGTGTCATGTTTGTGTACAACAAGCACAATATGTATTAAATATAAGGTTACCATAATTAAATCTTCACCGTTTTATCTGGGAGAGTCGCCTTTCATTGAGCACGTGCTGGAGTGTACACACACATGGTTCACGTGTGGATAGGTTATACAGGTATTAAGTGAGCGGTGACATATAATTTGCATCGTAATTTGTAAAGTGGTGTCTGAGAGAGACAAGGTTGGCTATATAAGTGCTACTCGTATAGTGTACATATAAAATAAAGAAATCTCTTTTACTGGTTGATATTATCGGCACCTGAGCTGAACGCGGAGTGATTTCTTCTGTTCTTCGTACAATTCGTCATAGAGCTGCTGGCTTGCTCGCAAGTCGTGTATTCTCTTTCCGAGTCGGAAAGCGAGGTGCCATGCAGTCGGATAACGAAATGTGCTCGACGAGACGACCACGATGGTTACCAGTCAGCCATTTTCCTTGAAGTAAGAGTGCCGTCAGTCCCGATGACTACTCATCCTGCTAATTGAGCAGCTAGGTATGTATTTCGAGATGGTGGATCTTTTGATGTGCCCCTCTGAACGAGCGTCAGAACCGTATTCCTCCAGCCTTCACATGTCGCGGAAGAATTACCTTGGCGTCACAGGTACAGTGTGCGGTGGCCACGCCTGAATCAAAGCTGACCCGGACGGGTGTGGGTGGCGCCCTTGAAATCGGTGTGCACTGTGACTGAATAGCGCAGTTTGAAATGATTCTACCGTCCACGAATCCGGGAGAAAAACGCTCATTCGACGCGGGATCGTCGTTCCTTAGCACGAGATCGTAATGATGTAGCAAAATATTCAATTCGTACGATGAGATGTTGGTCATGTAACAAAATGTTCGCCGCGTAAGTACTCTAACTAAACATCTGTAAGGTTTCCCTTTAGTTTCTTTACGCTGACTTGGATTCTTTTTCATGAGTTTCCGGTACCTGTCCCAGCCGGTCGAAACCAAGTGCGGTGATGCATGAATAAATTGAGCCAGTACTTATACAATAAACATTTTCTAAGCAGATCGCCCATATCAAAATTATCGAACAAACGACACTTTTCCGATTTCTGTCCTTATGTACTTAGTAAAATTTGAAACTACCGACATTAACAACAATAACGCTTGTTCAGGCTCAAGTTCAAAAAAAAAAGCGAAAGATTAAAGCGTATTCAATGTGGCGAGGCCTGAGCGAATGAATAGGCCCAAGTTAATATGAAAAAATCTCAGCATATCTACGGAGTAGTGAATGATGATGAGTTGAGAGAAGCGTCCGTCCGTTCATCCGTTTCAGCGTTCATAGTTGCACAAGTTTCATTTGTTGCACAAGTTTTTTTTTTTCGATTATTGCACAAGTTTCAGCGTTCATAGTTGTGCGATTTTAAAATGAAAAGCAGTTATTGCGCATATCTGAGGCACATTTACAACACTTCAATATTTTCTGTGTGTGTCTTTATACTAGAGATGCCTTAAATAAGTAATTCTCAGAACACTTGCTCAAGAAGGCAAGTGTTTTCAACGCTTTGGCAAGAGGACACGGTGGTGGCTCCGGCCCGTTGCTTTGCGTTCTACACCTTATCGTCTCAGAAGCAGGCGCGCGCGCCTTCATTCGTTTTCGAAGATAACTGCCAGATGGCGGTCTTGTCTAACGTGACTCAATACGCTCGTTCGCTTTCGCAAGACGGATTGAGACTCTCTAACGCAGCGCCTCTAGAATACAAATACAACAGCATATAAAAATACATGAAATAAACGTTTTGTTCACTCTCTTCAGACGCAAGATTATCGTCTTTCGACGACATTCGCAGTGAAACATGCAGATACGGGGCCATTTTTTTATCTTAAACTCATAGTGTGTGCACTGTGCGGTAGACATTTAAGGATGTCACATGAAGGAAGCGGTCGCTGCCAGTCTGTTTGAACATTGATGATTGATTGATTAATTTGTGGGGTTTAATGTCCCAAAACCACCATATGATTATGAGAGACGCCGTAGTAGAGGGCTCCGGAAATTTCGACCCCCTGGGGTTCTTTAACGTGCACCCAAATCTGAGCACATGGGCCTACAACATTTCCGCCTCCATCGGAAACGCAGCCGCCTCAGCCGGGATTCGATCCCGTGGCCTGCGGGTCAGCAGCCGAGTACCTTAGCTACTATACCACCGGGGCGGGGCAGTTTGTTTGAACAATAGAATGATGAAGGGCACGCAAAAAGAAAATGGTGGAAGGCTGACATCTGTCCACGCAACTGAAAGGCATGTTTTTTCTTCACGATAATTTGTAACTTAAATGAAGCGACTGTTGTGTCTATTCCCTGCTTTTTAAACGCACCAAAATTTAACCCCTGCGTTTGGGTATTGTTTCTAAAATATTTAAAAGATTCGTCTGAGTAACAAGAAACTTTCAAGATGAAAGGAAATAACATTTCCGAGTAATTTGATAACTGTTGCCCTTTTTTATTTTTTAGAGGCCAAGTGTGAGCAGCAGGTGTTGCCGTTTGTGTGTCACATACTCGTTTGTGATGGGGATCGCTTTTTGACTGGACACACTCATTCCTAAAACACACACAAATTCGCGGGACTAATTGATGTGGTCTTCCATTTTGCGTTCGAATGAAGAGTAGTTGTATTTAGCCAATTCCCGTGGGCCACGCAAGTTTGGCATAAAAAACTAACTAATAGGTCTACGGAGAACTGGTTACAAAAACTACGGCTGCTTTATTGCTAAAACATCCCTCGCTGCTCTATTGCTACAATCCACCCGCCCCCCTCTTCTCTTAACCATTACTACCGGGTTGCATTTAATTTCTACATTGTATTTATACAGTGTACTAAAAGTGCGTCGATAAAAACAAACCTGATCTTTTGAGCAGAAGTACGCAGCGGCGTGCATGAATTACGTAGTCCTCAATGACGCAGACACTTTCCCTCACTACAATAGGCCCGGACAAGAACCGCTAGCTCTAAGTTGAGTAGTGATGTAACCTGGCTGGCGCATCTGCTACATAAGTGAGGGAAACAAATAGTCCATCATCTTGGTACTGCTTATCGTATTACTCTAAAGATCAGTGAGAATGAGTATTGTATGTACGCATTAAAGGATATAATAAGCTCGCGCAGGGCTTGAGACGGCGAACAGCGTTAAAGGAGGCTTATCCGCCTACGATGGAAGCTTAATAGACATGCAATAACAGTGCTAAACTAGAGGAAACTGATTAAATTTTCATCCACGTACGTCTCACTCTTATACGCATGGATTGCAAGACCGCAGCAGTGCTTAAATGTATGTGCATGCTAACGTCGCACAGGAGATCACGTGTGTTTCGAAGCCCCCCCTTTCCCTCCACGGGCCCCAATGACATGCCCCATATATCATTTCGCAACTTTAGCTCCTCGAAAATGAAAGAATCACAGACACGAGAATAATGGTCGAAAAACAGGTACCTTAGGAAAAACAGCGCGATAGACGAACCGACACTAAAGCACGTAACTAATATTTTTTAACCGACAAGTTGACCAATAAAGATTAAGATGATGACGTGGGCTAGCATCAGCATGTTCACTCCCTGTTTACTCTGCAGAATTGTTGGAAAACGGGCTACTTGTTTTCGCAGCCGCGAACCAGCACGGTATACAAGTTCTTTGTTATCATCCCACCGTGGTTTGTTATTGATGGCTATACCATTGCGTATGTGAAAGCCCCTACGTGTCGAAGTTTTGCACATATGCGCCTCAAACGAAAAAAAAATTTAAGAGCTGGTGACCTTCGGAGACAAAAAGAGGACGAAATTTCAAAATTCCAGAAGAACTTGCAACTACAAAATGAATGATTGAGTCGGTTTTGTTTATTTGGATTGGCTTGAAGACAATGTAGCTGAGAGATGTGCAATGTATTATCTCATTGTGCGCGCTTGCGATATAAAGGTTGTGGTGGAGTCTTCGTCACGTATTCGGCGCGAGATGGCAACAATGAATATTCGGAGTTTCGCTGTAATTGTTGTCTTGTGCACATTTCTCTTGCCGGCAACAGCTCAAGAGCCGGCTTCAGAAGACTTGACGCTCCGTGGGAGAAGTGGATGGCATCAACCGTATTGGCCGAATTGGCATTGGCCGAATTGGCATTGGCCCGGTTGGCCTATATGGCCCAGTAAGTTACGTGGTTATTTTGTGTGTGAACATACTGCGGATTTTCCTATTGCATGGTGCTTCTGTCGTGATATTCGTGTGAGCAAAGGAGATGTATAAAGTCAGACATCTATTAAAATTTAAATTTGGTGCTACTGCAGGTCATCCAGACAAAAGTTAGCCTCGTATCTGCATGTTTTACTGCAAATGTCATCGAAAGACGACAGTCTTGCGTCTGGACAGAGTGAACAAAAACGTTTATTAGATTTCCGAGATAAAATTGGCGAATTGTATTCTGGAGGCACTGCGTTAGTCTATATCGTGCAGCAAAGGCGAACGTGCGCATCGAGGCACGTTAGACACAAGCGCTATCTGGTAGTTATCTACGATAACGAAGAAAGGCGTGCGCACCCGTCTTAGAGGTGATAAGTTGTAGAAGGCAAGGCGACGAGTTGGTGCCTCAACTGTGTCGTCTTAACAAAGCGTTGGAAACACTTGCCTTTAAGTGCAAGCATTGCATGATCAGCGCAGCGTGGTAAATGCTACGGTCCTTATAATTACTTTTGTAGGCCTTCTCTAGTATAAAGACACACATACAGAATATTGATGTGTTATAATGGCGCTTCAAATATGCGCAATAATTGCTTTTTATTGACAATCGCTTAAGTATGAACACTGAAACTTTAGCAATATGGATGGGTGCTGCAGATGGGGTTGGCCGTTTGGGGTACTGATCGGGACCGTTTGGGGTATGGTTATGGAGGACAAATAGGCAAGTGTAAAAACAGACAGACCAAAATTTTTGCGTCGAAGTACCCCAGGAATATCGTCTTCAAGTGATCGAAATGGTGAAAAACTAGTATTGATATGCAATTAAGGTAATAGCTCGCTACACTAGCTTACAGCACTCTCACTCTCGGGGTGGTGGTAATGAAAAGTAAAGGCAGACATTTCATATATAAACTGACATGAAAAGGCAGCTGCAGTGACTAATTGAACTGTGTAGTGTGGTATGTCGAAATGTAATTCGTAGCTTCCACACTGGTGCGAAATCGGATTTCTAGAAGGAGTATCATTCAAACCTAATGGGTGAAATTCGGCTGTTTTGTTTCTGTCATATACTTAGTAGGTCATGCCATTATCGGTGACGAGAATTTGCTGGGCTGATAACTTGGTACTTCTTTTTTTTCAGCATGCTAAATTATACCATGATTAGGCTGTTATTTTCAATTACCTACTTGTGCTTGTGAATGGCAGCTGTCTGAAATAGATGGCTTGATGATTGAAGCAAGGTCCAACAGGTTGTTTTGTCTTCAGATTAATTCAATCAGTTACTTGATTTTTAATGATCGAAGAGTCATTCCATGCCAAACGTCCCAGACAAGGCTCTGCACGCTCTTCGATGCTACAAAGTCATAGCCGAAAATTTTGTCACACTACTCATGTTCGCAGATTTAGTATGTGCAATTTTCTTTTTCATAGTGGTTAACATATTCTGGTGCTAGTACAAATTGCGGCGAAAAAATATAGTAAGAACATTAAACAGAACACCTTGAGAAGCTACTAGTTGTTAGAAGCTGACCCACTTCCTGCGGTTATAAAAACTATAATGGCAAGGAAGAATAGCGACGTGATGAAGAGTCTTGTAACACATCACAACGCAGAAGGTATTGATAATCTTGAGCATTTATAAACATGCTTAAGGAACAGCAAAAGAAATCTTCCAATGCATATACATCCCGGATTCTTCTGTGCCAGAAAATCAATCTTTCTTTTTTTAGATGAAACAACAGATGGCCAGCTGGCACAGTCATAACCTGCGAAAACAATCACACTTGCTTTTTCAATTTTCTAGTTGTCTAATTCACATGCCGACAGACTAGGACATAGAACGCGGTATTAACATTACTGTCGTCGCAAATTTTTGTATAATATAATTTTACTGTGAAAATACGAGTGGCCGACCACTTGCAGGAAATTTAGAAATAATTTACAACGAGGAAAAATTCATGTCAGTGTCACAAATACGGAGCATCTGCACCTGCAAGATATTTACTATGGGATAGATTTTCGGTGTTAACTTGACAGCTCGTTTTATATTCAGTTTACAATAGCAACAAACAAAAATACATGATTACGTTTAATTTAGTAGATATATTATGCCGCACAGTAAACGAAGCATAAAAGAAACATTGAACCAAGTAACTATATAGTATTTCAACATTTTGTCCCACAAAACATCTCATCTAACACTAACTTACACGATTTCAGAGTGCCCATGGGGCGAAGTGTACAAGCAGTGTGCCAGCAGCAGCTGTGGTGAGAAAAGGTGCTCCGACATTGGCCGACCTCGGCCTGGCTGCACGCGTGATTGCCAAAGTCGTTGTTTTTGTATGAAGGGTCTGTACAGAAATGGTCGTGGAAGATGCGTACCCAAATGGCGATGTCATAAAGCTGGATTCGTCACGCCGGTGCCCTATGGAACCGAATAGGGGGCTCGAATAGCATATGAATGACATTGAAAAAATGCATTCAAAAACAAACGAGAGTTTTTTTTTTTGTCTTTAGACGGATGGATTGTAATAAAGGCTAAATAAATGTTGCGTTGAAGTCAGCGTCGCTTACCTTATTTAGCTACTCGAAAGACACTCATAACACATTTGCACACGGGAATGATTGCGCAGCGTTTCTCAAAATTATCTATACTTAACGAAAAGAAACGCTTAAAAAGAGGTAGCCGAACGAAGCAATTCTTTCTCCCGTGAACAGTAGCTAGTGACAAGCCAGAAGCAATGCCAATCCTACTGCGTTATTAAAAAATCCAATGGCCGCAACACTGTCGCGCAGTGTATGAAACCACGTGCCTTGTATAGAACCACGTGCCCTGTATGGAACCACGTGCCACGTCTAGAAAAGCAAAATCCTTTGCAGACAGTGACACCAAAAAGTAGACGAGGTAGCTGTTACCGATACTCGGTATTACGGTGGCTTCAGCAATCTGTCGCGCATTTTTATTGGAATTCCTACGCACAACAACGCACTTTTTAACAAAGCTTCGCATTCAACATTATCATAATGCACAGACACGTGGCCATCCCAGTATCAGTGAAACGTCTGGTTGTAATATCTTTGCCTTTCGTTCAGGCACCTTCTGAACAGGAAGATGCATGGAACAAATTGAGAAAGAGAAAGAGAGAGAGAGATTTATTTAAAAAAAAGCACAGAGGTTGCCCTGAGTGATACTATGCTCTAGACTACTAAGAGAACGCGTTGTTGGGCTAGTTGGTAGAGCATTTCGAAAAGCGCTGTGTGTTTTATGCATGGGTGTGTGCGTGTGCGAGTGATCGTGTCAAGTTTTCGCGCTCGAATTAACTTTTCGAAATGCTCTAGCCTACTACTTTACAGAGAGAGAGGGGAATGAGGAGGAAAAGAGTAAAGATGACGATACGGAAGTTAAGGAGGTGAGTATGTGCAGTCACGTCATTTGGGGGGGAGCACGTGCACCCAGCCTCCCTTTTCCTTTTACGGCAGCGTGACAGCCTAGTAGCGGAAACATGTCTGTCCCTTCTTGACACGAGTCGATAAAGCCTCTTGCCAAGGGATGGAACAGCCCACGGCCGGTGCTCGCGATCCCCTTTAGCGACGATAGGTATAGCAAGAGAACAGATCGACGACAAAGAGACAAGAAGGACACGAGTGCTCGTTGTTCTGTTGTCGCGCTATAACTATCGTCATGTCTTACCAAGTAGCTCAAACCACCACACCCCCTTTCCCGACCCATGGAACGGGTTTGCCCTTCCTTAGCGAAGGAACGTATTCTCGTCAGCGAAGAGAAACCGGGACGGTGAAGAAAATGAGCGTGCTGATGACCGGACGGTCTCTCTGACCACGGCCGCAGGATGAAAAAGCACACGTTTTTCATCCAGTGGCCGTGCTCTGACACCGACTGTAAAAGAAGAAAGATGGACGCGGAACCCGCTGCGAACCAAGGACGACAACGACCGAAGTGAAAGCATCAGCACCTTTGTCATCTGTCTTTACGCGGCATTTACGCGCTATTGCTTGCGTATAGCAATAAAATGTTGTTTGTTGACCTAGCTTCTTGCTTTATTCGTTCGAACCCATGTAGCTGCGATGACTCTAGCTACGGATAGGGGACGTTATTCGTGCACAGTACGACTGTGTGTGGCTGGAACATTAGCTAGGCTTCTGCGTCAGCCGTACACAGGACGAACTCCATACACGCTTTGGCACAGTGCCGCAGACGCCTGTAGAAAAGCTATGAATGCTCGTTTGGTCGCCATTGCCATGTTGGCATAATTTTAAGGACCCAACACAAACTCTTCAGTTGGTAGTCTATTATGTAATCTCTTCGTAGAGGATATAAGTTGCGATCATCTACGCGTGTATGCTGGCCAGGTACAAAATATGTGCTCTAGAGTTTCTGGCTCTTCACAGTTCTTACAATTGCAATGGTGGCCCGTGTCGCTATAGCCGATGTATGGGCATAACGCCTTGTGTTAGGCCACACCACGACAAATCCGGTGAATCAAGATTTCGAAGTTTCGTTTTGATTTATGAGGGATGCGGAAGCATATTTCCGAATTGCATTGGTGTTATCGCTGATGTCGTCCCTCCGATTTTGTCCAGTGTTGAAGCGTGAAGTTGCGTATTATGCACCGAAGCAGGGCATTCAAGCCACGCGACCTTCTGGTCAGCGGTCAAGCGCCAGTGGAGTGACATGCCCATTGAGCCAATGGTGACGAAAATTAGACGCGACGACAGCACCACCTTGATTGCGGCAGCAGTTGCACAAACAGTAAAAAATTGCAATTTCACTGACATCTGGTCAAGTCTTTATTATATTCTGTACTCAAATTGCTTTTTTGAACAAATAATAACCAAATATATTGTTTGCTTAATTTATAGTTGCGTATAAAAAAACGAGTTTCAAAGCACCAGAGCGTTTTAATAGGGCGGCTGGCCATTCACACAGCAGACGACACCACCGTCAACGTCGTCACCTGCTTCTGCGTCAAGGCTGTCCCCCGTTCGTTAGAGCAGCTCCCTGTATCAATTTCTCTCGTTTCTATATAGTAAATTGCAGTAAACTAGTTACTAGATGCTCACAAGTATCTTGCATACTTACTTTAGTAAGTAAGTGATGCCACGTACAGGCCGAGCGAAACGACAACGTTGATCACACAAATTTGCGGCAATAAAGTGTTTTATTGCAAATAAGTCGACGTTTAATAAGATTAAGATCTCGTAGTAACGTTTGAGAATGTATAGCGGTGAAAAATATGCGTGCATCAGCGTTAATGCGCAAATAAGGTACGTACTACGCATAGCTCCAACGCAGATGCCCGGAGCACAGAAGCTCTCCAGCGTTGGCTTATATATCCATCGCACTCCACGAAAAGTTCGCTGCAGTAAGTAAAGGTATTCTGATAACGTTATAGCACTTCTGTTGCTGAAGATGTCGTAACATCTCGTTCACAGTATTCGGAAAACTTTCTGTAATTATTATCAACGTACTCGCGTGCCTTTCACGAGCCGTGCGGCATGACTGTTTGTTTTCTGGTCCGCGCTACCACCTAAAGTGCGTCACTTTCCAGTTTTTCAGGCATCCGCACCACGCATGCTTCTGAATGCCTAAAATTAAATGAGAAATGGTTATTTTATGCTTACTATTCTCAAGTTTTAAGAATAAAATTGTCGAAATAAAGGCTCAGATGGTGTTCGTTTGTCGTCGCCGGCGGTGCGCTGTCGTCATTTCGATAACGACGACGCCTCACGGCGCGGATGCGAAGCTCTCAACATGCCACGGGCCTACAAGCGCCATAGCAATGATAAAGCCGTGGCGAATCGTACCATAGCGATGTCATTGTCTTCATTTATTTCTGTGCTTTCTTTGTCCACATTCAATTATGTCAATACAATCTGTTTACCATCCGAAGTTCCCGGTTACCCCATTTTCACTATATTTTATGCTTGCCCAGGTGGTAGAGCGAGAACGGTGCTTTGCAGGTGACCTTAAATTCACGAGTTAAATCTCATCCGCAAGGCTCGGATTTCAATACAGGTAAAATGCCAAAGCCCCGCGCTATCTTCTATGTCAGTGCCCGCTAGAGAAGAAGAGAAGACCAAAATTTACAGAGCGCTGAACTAAGGAGTGCCCCGAAGTGTTCTCATTATTTTAAAGACGATAGTCTTTCTTCGCGACCTTGGACGCGAAAATTTTGGTCCGTCAGTCTGTCTGTCTATCTGTGCATTTGTCTGTTTGTCCGCAGTGACGATACCCCAAACGACACCCAACGATACCCCAAATGGCCGACCTCATCCGCAGCGCCCACCAATATTGCTTAAGTTTCAGCATTCATAATTGTGAGAGTGTCAATTAAAACAATTATGGCTCGTATAGGAAGCACCATAACAACAAGTCAATAGTCTGTATGTTTGTCGTTCTACTAGAGAAGGCATACATAGGTAATTCTGAAAACCATAGCGTTTATCACGCTGCGCTGACAATGCAAGGCCTGCACGAAATAGCAAATGTTTCCAACGCTTTGCTAAGACGACATGGTGGTGGCACCTACGCGTTGCCTTGCGTTTTACATTTTATCGCCTCCGAGACGGGCGCGCACGGCGCGCGCTTGAATTTCAAAATAACTAGCAGATAGCGATCATGTCTCACTTGTGACGTGACTCGAAGCGCTCGTTCGCCTCCGCTTCACTCTTGAGGCACTCTAACGCAGCGCCTCCAGAATACCATTTACCGATTTTCTTGTGCATAACATAAAAAAAAGAACGTTTTGTTCACTCTCTCCAGACGCAAGACTATCGTCGTTAACCAACATTTTCAGTGTAACACATAGATACGAGGCCAAGTTTGTACACTTGAAACCCCAGGTATGGTTGCATTACTATTCGGTCATTTTGTCATTGACATACCTTTGGGGCCTGTGGTTTGGTGAAAGACATAATTCACGAAAGGTTCACGCTAATTTCTCCTCAAGTCACATTTTCTGTAGTATATCCACCTCGATGAGGTTTCGAATTTATGAAAAGCTACTGGTATAAAGCTTGTCTAATTACTTACATGAAGCATCATGCCCTTTTTTGCGGTTTTAGCAGTAACAAAACATTTACAAAGAAAAAAATACCCCACGGCACAGGAATGACTCAATACTGTTTTGATATCTTATCCAATATCTTTCTGTTTATTCCTAGGAAAGGTAATGAATAGAGTTGGGGAAGATACGCTAGTGTAAGGAGCTGTCAAGATTAATCTCACCGCAATCAGTTGTAAGCAGTAATCAAGGCAACGAATAGCGATTGATTGATTTGTGGGGTTTAACGTTCAAAAACCAGCATATGATTATGAGAGACGCCGTAGTGGAGGACTCCGGAAATTTTGACCACCTGGTGTTCCGCAACGTGCACCCAAATCTGATCACACGGGCCTACAACGTTTCCGCCTCCATCGGAAATGCAGCCGCTGCAGCCAGCATTTGATCCCGCGACCTGCGGGTCAACAAATAGCGAGATATATGGGGAAAGATAATCGAGTCGGACCCGCTTGGCGCCGCATAGGAAGCGCTATGTGACCAA